CACCAAGTGAAATGTTACACTACACAAAGTAATGTAACTATCTTCAATATCTTGAGGTGTACCCTTTTGGCAAGCTTCGAAATCACTTGAGGCTTGACACCAAGGCTCGGGCTCTTCATCACAAACTCATCCTTGAGTTCTTGATGGGTCTGCTGCACACACCTGCGACACGCCGAACGTTCGACACAGGACAAAATAGAAACCGCGCACGACAAAATAGAAACCGCGCGCGAGACACAAACGACCGCGTAACACGCGTCTAGCGATAACTCGCTATTGACTCGACACACACACTCGACATCATGACTCAACATTCACACACAATTATAAGCATGAAATATATATTATCCCATGCCCTCATACCATTCCATACACACACACATTCACGCACACGGACAACAAGCCGAGTGCAAACCGTAGGGTTGCACCAACAAACTCCCCCTCGGATTGTTGGCCTTAGGATATGTTGCTCTCTCAGTTCAGAGCCATCCCAGCCAGCTTGCAACACTTCCAATGCTGCTGCTCCACCAGCCTCTTGGTCATCATGTCAGCCGGCTGCCCCGTGGTCTTCACGTAGCGCAACAACATGAAGCGAGCGGCACGGATCTTCGCGGTTTTCCTTAAGGAGGTGGAAGCTGAGGAGGGGAAAGGAGGGAGCGCAGCAGTTGGCGATAAGGCAACTCTTCTTGCTAAAGTGAGTGCACTATTAGCAGAGTTTAGAGACGTCTTCCCCCGACGAGTTGCCCCCAGGGTTGCCTCCTAGCCAAACAGTAGATCGTCGAATAGAGCTGGAGCCGAGAAGCAGGCCAGTAGCGAAGCCGCAGTGGAGGTTGAGTCCAGCAGAGACAGAGGAGATGACGCAGCAGGTTAGGCACTTTCTCGCGCAGGGTTTCATTCAGCCATCTAGATCGCCTTGGGCAGCACCAATCCTTTTCGCACCCAAGAAAGACAGAGGGTTACGGATGTGCATAGATTACCGTGCACTGAACGCCGCCACCGTCAAGAATAGGTTTCCGGTTCCGAGAGTAGAGGATCTCCTAGATGCAATGCAGGGCGCTAGAGTTTTCTCCAAGATCGACCTTCGTTCGGGTTACCATCAGATTCGAGTAGTTCCAGAGGACCAGCACAAGACGGCGTTTCGTACGAAGCAGGGGTTGTACGAGTTTAGAGTTTTACCATTCGGTTTGACCAACGCCCCAGCGACGTTTCAGACGCTCATGAACACAGTCCTCTCCGAGTTCCTAGGTTCGTCCGTTGTCGTTTACCTAGATGATATCTTAGTATTCTCCAAGACGAAAGAGGAGCACGTGCAGCACTTGCAGAGGGTCTTTGAGGTCTTGCGGAGGGAGAAGCTGTACGCGAAGCAGTCTAAGTGCGAGTTCTTCCTTCCGGAGATCGAGTTTCTAGGTCACGTCGTATCCGCTAGTGGCATTAGGACCGACCCGAAGAAGATCGCAGCAGTACAGGACTGGATAGCTCCGACCTCAGTCAAGGAGTTGCAGAGCTTTCTCGGATTCGCGAACTACTACCGTCGTTTCGTTCAAGGTTACGCATCGATAGCTAGATGGATGGAGTTCATGGAGGGGAGTTTCCACTACAGGATAGAGTACAAGCCAGGCGTTCGCAACCCAGCGAACCCGCTCACTCGCCCTAGTTGCCAGCTTGCTAGCCTCACAGTCACTGCAGGCCATCCACTTCTCACGGCACTCTTCGAGCACGGTTACACAGTAGATCCCGACTTCACACCGCAGCCGCCCGCAGGAGCAGAGGTGCAGGGTAGTGTCTACATACGGAAGGGTACCACAAGAATTTGGGTTCCCGCCTATCGCCCTCTTCGACAGCTTCTTCTTTCCGAGGCGCACGATGTAGTTAGCGCGGGTCACTTTGGAGCAGATAAGATGGTTAAGACGCTTAGTCGCACGTACTACTGGCCAGGGCTTGCAGCAGACGTAGAGGATTACATTCGCTCGTGCGACACGTGTCAGCGTACGAAGTCCTCTCGCCAGCGCAAAGCAGGACTCTTGCAGCCGATTCCACCGCCCGACCGCCCTTGGCAGGTAGTTACGATGGATTTCATCATGGCTCTACCGCGCACAGTTAGGAGTCACGACGCCATCTTCGTGGTAGTGGATAAGTTTTCTCGAGCAGCGCACTTCATCCCCACGCACAGCAAGGTCACAGTAGAGGAAGCCGCGACGCTGTTCGTAGATAACGTAGTCCGACTGCACGGGGTTCCCGATTCCATCATCTCAGACCGCGACCCTCGTTTCACTTCAAAGTTCTGGAAGCAGCTTTTCGCACTGTTTGGGACTCGCTTCGCCATGTCGTCTGCGTACCATCTAGAGACAGACGGACAGACTGAGCGTGTGAACCAGACCTTGGAGCAGATTCTTCGCAGCATCACGATGCACGACGCAGCCGCATGGGACAAGAAGCTGAGCATGGCCGAGTTCGCATACAACAACACGCACCACTCGTCCACAGGCATGTCACCGTTCTTTGCACTTTACGGCCAGCACCCCAATGTCCCCACTCGTGTCGATCTCACACCCATAGTCCCTCGTGCGGACAACTTTCACCAGCATCTCACATTCATCCATGATCACGTGAAGAAGCACCTTGAGCTCGCAAATGCACGCATGTCACGCACCACCAACCGCAGTCGTCGTGAGGTGTCGTTCGCAGTCGGCGACCGTGTTCTCTTGGATAGCCGCAACCTCCGACTGCCACAGGACAGCAAGCTTCGTCCACGTTTCATTGGTCCATTTGTCATTGAGCGCACACTTGGTCCAGTCGCATACCGCCTCCGCCTTCCCGCTCATTTCCGCATGCACCCGTCATTCCACGTGTCGCTTCTTCGTCCTTACACCGATCCCAACGCCACCTTCTCGGGCCGTTACCGCACTCCACTGCCGGTAGCTGTTGACACCGACGAGCCCGACTACCAGATCCAGCGCATCCTCAGGCACCGTCACCGTCTCCAGGGGGGTGTCCCTTTTATCGACTTCTTGGTTCGTTGGCGTGGTTACGACACAGCAGACGACAGCTGGGTTCCTTCGTCCTCGCTGTCTCCCGACAACGCTTGCCTCCAAGCGTACCTCCAGTCTGCAGGCGCTGCGGACGTCGCCTCCTTGGAAGGGGGGTAGTGTTAAGGGGGGATTTACTGTTCATTCCGAATAGTACTTTCCAACTCACCCTTATTCTTATCTTCCTATATTTCCTAGTGCCACGTGACACTCTACTTTTCTTGCCTTCAATTCCTAGTCCCACGAAGTAATTTTCGACATTCGATCTTGCATGCTATATCAACCTTGCTTGTACTTGTCATTATCAACCAATTCTCATTCATCAATTACTCAGTTACTTCTTCGCCTATTTTGCCAACACATCTTAGGGCGCGTAACTTTTTCCATTTTAGGCCAATGTCCGGACGGAGCCCCCAAAACGTCCGAACGGAGCTCCGTCCGGACGGTTGGGGATGTGGTTCGGACGATGAAGCGTCCGTACCACAATTGTGACACTTTTTTGCAGTTTCGAAATTTGAAATTCGTGCGAAACAGTAACGAGCATAACCTACCTCGCCAGTAAATCGCTCAATTCGCAAGCATGCATTTGCGGCTCGGTAATGTTTGAACTTTCCAACCACTTTGTCCTCTTTCTCGCGCTTCTGTGAGTACAACACACAAACAAATTGAAAGTTGGAGTGGGAAATTTGATTCTGGAAAATGTGTCTCGCGCACCAATGACGTTGCAGGGGTTCCGGACGGTCCGAAATGCTGTCCGGACGGTGTCAATAGCGTAGAACGGACGATGAACTGACAGAAAAGTGTCAGACTTCGTACGGACGATCGCGACGTCGCGGGAGGACTTGCGAAACTTTTGACGAACCCTGACGAATATAGTAACCCTACAAAAGTCCGGACGGGGCCTCCGTCTGGACGATGAAATGCGAAAAAGTTACGCGCCCTTACGCCAAAGTCTTCCGCCGCGCTTTATCCTCAATTTAGTCAACCCCGCTATTCCTTAGCGGATTTAGGCCAAGGGGCCTAACAGAAGTGCAGGTACGAGTAGTGTACATCTCCACAGCTTTACTCAATACAAGCACACTCGCACAACGGATATTCGCCTCACTCGGTCGGGACGGGAGACGGGGCCTCTCGATGCCCGCGGGAAAAGTGAATGGTGATTGCATCCAAGTTCAGCGAGCTGAACCAGCAAATTGGTGTTTCTGGTCAAACCACGTCAGGCGAGTGCAGTTGTGGCTGGGGGGAACAAAATGAATAAGGATGGGAAAGCGGGCATCAACCGAGGCGGAGTTTCGGTGCTGAACGCGCCCCCTACCTCCCCAAACTTCTCCACCCCGCCCACCTCCGTCCTCCCAGCCCAGGCATCTACAATTCGTTTTTCGTGGCTCAAGACGGTTCCACATGGTAGAAGACGGTTCTCAAATATGCACCGTTTTGCACCGCGAGGAAACGAGATACACCGTACATAACGAAGAGACGAGCTGGCTGATCTGCCTCGAGTACAGTATCGTCCTCCCTATTCCCCTCTTGCCGTAAATCTATGCTTTAGCAAGAAGGGCGCGATGCGTGTGTCAAGTCACCACCTCATGCGCTCCTCTTGTGAGCCTTATCCCTTTTTCCCCCCGTCACCATCCACCTCATTCCTCTCAAGCGCCACATTCCCCCTTCCCAGAACTCTAGAAGAGATTCAGTCTCCTTCCATGTTTCCCTCCCCATCTGTAATTTATGCACCCAGCCGCTTTTCCATCAGAGAATTCGGCGGCGGCGCATTGAGCCCCACAACGCGGCTCGTCGCTCCGCTTCGCTCCCCTCCAAACCAGTCTCTGGTTCGCAGGCAAGGCAACCAACCATAAGAGAGTGCTGACTTCCCGCTCTAACATATTCAGTTGTCACCTTATTCACTCCGCAAGCGAAATTCGATCAGCTTTACATCCCTCACAACTACTCAGCGTGACACTGTCTCCCTCAGTCGCCATGGCTCGCGTAGTGCGTCTCTCCCTCGCGCTTCTCGCGCTGCTCGCCGTCGTGGGCGCCGCCAATGCCGCTGCGTCAGCAGGCGTCAACTACAGCCAGAGCGGCCTCGACTGGGGGGTAAGTACTGCGACTCAATCATGCTCCTCCAATGGGGGGCGTGCACTGCGATTTCGCAATGGAAGTCCGCGTTCGAAATTGTTTCCGTTTGTATCGCCTATTCCTTACCCTTTCCTGTATTTTTTCTGTTCGAAGTCTTGATTGGCCAAACCCGTCACACTGAGACGAGAAGTTTAATCTTACAACTTCGAATTTGATATGGCAGGGAGAGTGCCAGTCGGGCGAGAAGCAGTCGCCCATCAACATCGTGATGGACGAGGCGAAGGAGGTGAGCGAGCCGGAGAAGTTCGTGCTCGAGTACGACTCCGCCGCCACCACCGCCACCGTCATCAACAAGGGCTTCACCGTCCGTAAGTCGCCGCTGCTTGAATACGTTTCTACACCACTTTACACGCTTAGTTTCGCTTTTCCCATTCTGTTTGAAAGTTTTTGAAAACTAATCGCGCATTATTTCTTCCTTGATTCTTTTTCGACAGAGGTGGCTCCCAACCCAGAGAAGACCTACAAGCTGCACATCAACAGCGGCGTCTACAACCTCCTCCAGGTATGATGCCACCTCCGAATGTAAAACTCCGCTCAATGATCCTGACATATGCGAATCGAGCAAGTACCTCTGGTGAATTCCTGGTGAATTTGCAATGCTAAGCAGTCTGGCGTCAGTACCTGACCACTCCCTTCCCTCGCTCGGCCTCACTTCGTTAGATTTCCACGCACTCCTCAAAGCACACCACATTACCGACGTATCGTCATCTTTTAGCAAAATTCACGCGCATATTTTCGGAGCGCGTGCTGACGTTCTTCCTATCCTCTCTCTTGTCTCTTCCCTTCCCTCCCCGCGCCTCGCCGCAGATGCACGTGCACTCGTTCTCGGAGCACGCTGTGAACGGGCTCTTCGCGGCCATGGAGGCGCACTTCGTGCACGTGCACGAGAGCGACCCCAACACCCTGGCTGTCGTCGGCGTCATGATCCGCCTGCAGCGCCACGACGAGGCGTCCGCCTGGATCGACACGTAAGCGCTGCTGCTTTCCATGCATCCACTTTCCGTGCGCTCTTTCGTTATGTTCATCCGTCGACTCTTTTCTGCCGTATCCCCGCGGGTCTACTGGATTCGTCCTCACCCTTCCTGCTGTCGACATCCCTTTCTCCCGATTTCCTCGTTTCCCCCAACTCCTGGCTGGTTCTCTCAGCTGGCTGCCCAAGACCCCCGCCGATGTGAACGGCACGGCCACCATCGACATTCCCGACAACTTCTGGGCTGACATGATCGACACGTCCATGGGCTTCTGGCGCTACCCCGGCTCGCTCACCACCCCCGACTGCAACGAGATCGTCGAGTGGCACGTCGTGCGCAAGGCCAAGTTCCTCTCCGTCGCTCAGGTAATTATACGAACGAATGACACACACAGAAATCTACATGATAATTTTCACATGCCCAATTCCCGTGTCCCTGCATGCCTTGGATTCCAAATTTCTGAACCTTCGCCTGTTTTTTTCATCGCTCTTCGCTGCGATACGCAGACCATCACTTTCATGAACATGATGGCGAAGTACAACACCGAGCGCACTGACAACCGCCTCCCCGAGCCCGTCAATGGCCGCACTGTTACCTACTACACCAACGTCTCGTCTTAGAGCATTTCTCGGAAGTAGATTTAAGATGTTGATTTGTGGGTTGTTTCGTTTTTGTCCACCTCCTTACAAGTTGGAGGTTAGAGCTTGGGCTTGTTGATAATTGTTATTGTGGAAATAATTATGGTATCTACCTGTCCAAATGTCAAAACATTACTCACATGGAGATGCACCATAGCTAGGCATACTCATTAAATTGGTTGCATACCAGGGTGGTGAGCAGCTTGTGGTGGAGGGCAAGATCGGGCACATTTATTTGAAAATGGGTTAGAATCTTGAGCTTTAGGATTCCAAAAAGGTTGCCAAAAAAGTTAGTTCCAACAAGTGAGAACCCCAACCTACTTATAGGGTTTGGTAGGTGGTCTACTCTAAAGAGTGTACACTTCTCCCAACCCAACCAATATATTCTACACTATTTTAGTGTAGTTCCAACATTACATAAATGTTTGTTGGAACAACCCGAATAACCATAATTCCAACACCCTCCCCTGCTCTAATAAGCATTAAGCATCAATCAATCAAAACACAACCCCTCCAGCGAATAAAGCGTTGGCCTTTGAAGCCATCACTCGCATGCCAATGCGCTGAAGGTTGGCCCAAAACATCATGGTAAAATGCCCTGATTACTCTGATGGGCGATTGCTTTTTCAAAGTTACCCATTCAAAATCAGGCTTGCACCCATACTTCGTGTGCTGACAAACCAAACCACGCTCCCGCTGCCACCGTTGTCGCTTGTGACCATGGACGGAAATCTTAGAATATCCTAGGAGAGAATAGTCGAAAGAATGTGTGTGGTTGAAAGTCGAGGGGGATACTGAAATAACCTAGGATGGGTTGCACCCTCTAAGGGCAACTCACTATAGCCTAGAAACCTAACAATGCATATGAACATTATTTGACACACCCCCATAGGCTAAGTGAGGTGCATCCAAGAAATCGCAAGAGAAACAACTGTCACAAAACCAGTGAAGTGCAAGTAACAAAGCAAAGCTCAGGGTGGCGCTCAGAGTCACCACACACTCCGAGCACAAGCAAGTGGCCACAAGGCCAGTTCAAGAGTTTACTAGTATATCTAGTGTTGGAAGGAGTGTGAACAACTATGATGATGATAAGTTTGGGGAGGGGGTACAAGTGAAGTGACGAGATGAGAAATGTACCCCCAAAGGCTAGAACCTATATAGCCTACACATATAACTTAACATATAAGTTTTGACACACCCCCATAGGCGAAGTGGGGGATAGCCAGAGCTAACAATGGTCACAAGACGAGTCAAGAGAAGCAAATAAAGCAAATCTCACGGTGGATCTCAAGATCACCATGCATTCTGAGCACAAGCAAGCGGCCGCAAGGCCAGTTGACATGCAGAGTTTATAATAGCAATGGCAGTACACTGATGTATATCAGAGTACAACAAGTGTAAGACAAGATCAAGAGACAAGCAAGTGAGGCAGAGTGGGCACAAGCCCAAGAGCAGTGCAGAAACGCTTATGATCACTAGACCCAAGGGCCTTGGTGAAGAAATCAGCAGTGTTGGCCCATGTGGCCACGTAAGCAAGACAAAGCCGACCACGCTGCTGCAGCTCTCGCGTGAGGAAGTAACATAGAGCAATGCGCTTTGTTCTGTGTTCCAATCTCTGGTCCTAACACAAGGCAATCATGGCCTTGTTGTCGACGTAAAGAACTGGAAGAGAATGAGGCCGCTCACCCAAGTCGGTCAGCAGGTAGGCCAGCCAGCGGAGCTCCTGAGCAGCCATAGCTCCAGCGTAGATCTCGGCCTCACAGCTGGAACTAAGTACAGAAGAAGAGCGAGTGGACCTCCACGAGACAGAACCCGCGTCGAGGTTGAAGCAGTACCCCTGTGTAGACCGGTGAGTCGTCTGGTCGTCAGCCCAAGAAGCGTCTGAGTGGCCGTTGAGAACAACTGGACCCTGTCCTCCAAGCACGAGCCCCATGCCGGATGTACTGCACAAGTAACGCAATACCCTCTTCGCAGTTTCCCAGTGCACCTTTCGGTGTCTGCCGGGAGCCACGTAGCGAGCCAGAAGGCTGACAGGGTACGCGAGGTCAGGTCGTGTGCATGTCATCAGGTACATGAGGCAACCCACAAGCTCTGGGTACGGACCACTCGGCTCTACCAACTCGTCCGAAGGTGGAGCTGAGAGCGAGACAGAGGAGTGGGTTGTGGCGAGGACCACGAGAAGTCGAAGCGCTGAAGGACCTGCTACACCACGTGCTCTGTCCAACTCTCCTAGGTCAGTGCAGGTGTGTCTCTCCTGCAGCTCCGCCTTCACTAAGGCCAGAGCCTCAGTGTCAGCAGTAGCAAAAACCAAGTCGTCAACGTACACGAGAACGTAGAACGGCGGCAGAGAAGTGTCCGTGTGCACAAACAGTGAAATGTCAGCCGTCGAGGGAGCGAAACCAAGTGGGCGGCGCAACCAGATAGCCTCGTGAAGGGTGCTCTGCAGGAAGGCTGTCGAGAAGTCGAGGGAGTGCAGCTCATAGTCGCGCTGTGCTGCAACGTGCAGTAGCACCCGAAGAGTGGTCATCTTCGGGGTGGGGGAGAAGGTCTGGAAGAAGTCGACCCCCTCACGCTGACTGAAGCCTCGTGCAACGTAACGCGCCTTGAAGGCAGGCGGAGAACCCGGCGGCCGATTCACCCGGAAAATCCACATGCCATCGACTATGTTCGACCCATGTGGGGGAACCTCGTCGACGTAGGTGCCTGTAGACTTCCAGGAAGCCATCTCTGCGTCCATGGCTATCTGCGACTGAGAGGAGTACGTACCCGTGATCGCCTCTGCGTAATTGCGTGAGGTTGGGATGTCTGGTGCATCCGGGTCTCCCTCAGGGCAAAGTAGCGAGGACGCGAGATGCGGTGCAGCGGCCGCGAGGCACTCAAGCTCAAACTGCCTGTTCACAAGGACGTCACAGCCAAGGGCAAGCTCACCCCCGACGGACGGAGGATAGGAGGAGTAAAAAACAAGACTCGAAGCGTAGTCAAGGCGGCACAAAGTAGCAAAGTCAACAAGCTCAGCAACTATGGCAGACGTAGCAGCAGACTCAAAGGAAGGGTCAGTCACAACTGTGGCAAGGAGACGAGCGATAGTCGGACTTGCAGTACGGACAAGGTCTGACTCAGGGTCAGGAACGTGAGGAAGAGAAGACGTAGGAGGAGACGACGGGACAACACGCTGTGGAACAGAGGAAGGACGAAGTGCCATGACGTGCGTGTGAGGGACAGGTGGAGGACGCGGACGCACAGCACGGCGAGGACGGACATGCGTGACAGGACGCGACGCAGGCTCTCTACGCTCAGTGAAGGACTCTGTCACTGCAGTGTGAGGAGCAGGAGCAGGCAGCGGGTAGCCAGGCAGTAGCTGCGGCTGAGGCTGGACAGTCGGTAGGAAAAGCAACGAAGGAGTCGTACCAGCAACCGGGAACTCTGTAGCAGCAGGCAGAAGACTGAGAAGGTGACGAAGCGCAGAAAGCTGCGGCTAAGTAATCGCACCCCCAGAACCTCTAGCTCCAGTAGCAACAGCACCCCTAGAGCCCACACCACCAGCTCCACCACCGAGACTGCCCAAAAGAACAGCCCACTCGCGAAGCTGCTGGGGCGAGAGCGACTCGTGCCAACTAGCACCACCAACTCCAGCACCTCCAGTAGCACCGCCAGTGTCAGCACCCCCAGAACCTCCAGCAGCAGTTGTGCCTCCAGTACCAGTACCTCCAGCACGACCAACTCCACTAGCACTAGTACTAGCACCTCCAGGGCCAGTACCTCCAGTACCTCCAGCAGCACCTGTGCCTCCAGAACCAGTACCTCCAGCACGACCAACTCCAGGAACACTAGCACTAGCACCTCCAGGGCCAGTACCTCCAGAACCTCCAGTAGCACCTGTGCCTCCAGTACCAGTACCTCCAGCACAACCAACTCCAGGAACACTAGCACTAGCACCTCCAAGGCCAGTACCTCCAGTACCCACAGCTCCAGCACGTCCAGCGCCACCCCCAGGACTGCCCCAACTGACAACCCACTCACGAAGCCGCTTCGGCGAGAGATTCTCCTGCCGACGGGCACCGGCGCCACCAGCACGAGCAACCCCAGGACCAGCAGTAGCAGAACCTCCAGCTCCAGCAGTCCCAGCACCTCCCGCACGAAGGCGGCTAGCTCCACCTCCAGGGCTGCCCCACCGGACAGCCCACTCGCGAAGCCGCTCCGGTGAGAGATCCTCCGGCTGACTCGTACCAGGACCACCCATACCAACAACTCAAGTACCTCAAGTAGCACCCCAAGAACCAGCACCTCCAGAGTCCACACCCCCAGTGGCACCACCTCCACAGCGACAGACCGCAACGGCGGTGATGACGGTCGAGGCGGAAATTCAGGAGGGACCGCTAGGCGTGCGGAGCGGCGAGGGGTCACTGTGGCTGTAGGAGCCGGGTCACCCCCCTCAGCTAGGCCAGAGGTGTCAGAGGAGACCTCGACTGGCTCAACCAAGGGGGACGCGTCAACCTGAGACACACCTGAGGGAGCAGGACCGTGCGGGGGGAGTGGGGCTACCAGGGGGGAGTCGGAGACCAGTGTAAGGGGCGGGAGGGGCACAGGTGAACTGCGGTGGGGGTGGAGACGGTAGAAGCAGACAAACTCGTCAGAAGTGACGTCTTGGGAGGAGAGAAGACGACGGGAACCCGGGTGGTAAAACTGCCAGCCCGGGGCGTCGGTAGGGAAGCCAAGGAAGACCCAGCGAAGAGTGCGGGGAGAGAGCTTCCTCGCTTGGGGGGTCGCGAACAAGCGAAAGGGCACCCCAAACCCGAAACGGCGACGCATAACCAACCTCGCCCGTCCACCGCAGAGTGGGAGAGGTCTCCGGGCGGGAGACACGGGGCCAGAGGTTGAGTTGCGCAACAGCGTATCAGACCGCAAACTGCCACAGAAAATGGGGAGCATTCGCATGGACGATGGAGGCGCGAGCAACCTCCATCACCAAGCCAATGCAGTGC